TCATCAATACGGCGTCACATTTTCTTGTGCAATCGAAGGACTCTTGAATCGAAGGAGTTTTAAGTTTTGCTCCAACCTCCACTGTCCATGAAGATTGCAATCTCAGCTGCTCATGAATAACCTTTTGCACAGGGTAATGAACGGTGTCGAGGTTCCATCAAGTCTGCCCGTGCTACTTCGGCGCAGTTTTATTTTCCCCCCTGTTCTTGTGTTGTAATGCAACCCTTTCTTCATCTCACTCGTCATTTCTGCTCGTCTCCCTCCTCTGCTTCACTCGCAACTAGCACAGTCGCAGCCACACATGCTACGAACGCCCAAAAAGGGCCACTGAGGAAACCAGAATGGCTCAAAATGACTTATCCGTAACTCCCAACTTCTCATCGTCGTGGCGCTAGTGTTCTCGAATTGCGTTTCAGGAGTTATTCACTTGCATACACGTGCGTTCTTCCTCAGGGGACTAACGGATGATGGTCTCGTACGCTACCATAGCTTGAAGGCCAATATTAAGTCTACTGGTCTAGCCACGGTTTGTCAAGAGGCAAAATGCCCCAACATTGGAGAGTGCTGGAGTGGAGGCACCGCTACTATAATGCTCATGGGGGATACTTGTACAAGGTGAGTGTAATCTTATAGTTGGTAAAATGATGGGAAACATCGTGCTTAGGGGATGCCGGTTTTGTGCAGTGAAAACAAGTCGGAAGCCTCCAGCATTGGATGCCAGTGAGCCTTCCACTGTAGCAGAGACAATATCGAGGTGGAAGGGAGAGGACGGCAATCAGCTGAGCTACATAGTACCACTCTAGCAGCATGAGGGTCCTCTGAGGCTCGTAGTGTATTATAGGTATTGACCAGTGTTGATCGGGATGACGTACTTGACCAAGGATCAATGCACATTGCCGAGACTGTGAGAAAACTGAAAGAAAAAATGCCGGATTTGCTCGTCGAGGCGTTGGTGCCTGATTTCAAAGGGGACAGGTGGTGCTAATATATTATTATATTTATATATATGTTATTGGTTCAGCTTCTGTGTGAAGGAAGTAGCGACTAGTGGTCTTGATGTATACGCGCATAACATCGAGACTGTGGAAAGACTAACACCCTCTGTAAGGGATCGCAGAGCTGGGTATCGACAGAGTCTTCGTGAGCTCCTTGCCACTCTGGCTATCATCTCAATGCTTTCCTATGTAAGGTACATTGGAAATGGCGAAAGAGTATTGCCCTAAGCTTTTGACTAAATCGTCTATCATGTTGGGCTTGGGTGAAGAGGACGTCGAGGTAGTACAGTGTCATACCATATTTCTTTCACTTCATCATCATCATCACTAATGGCAGCGGATATCTCCCTACTAATGATTAGTCGTAGAGAGTCGTTCGAGAAGTGACTGTTTTATTTGTATGACTATTAATAAAGAGTGATACTACATTTTAGTAAATTCACCCTATTAGTATATCGGTATTATACTTATATCACTTATTACAATATAATTATATGGTTATAAATTATAACTTATAATACCAATACAGTATATTGATAATATATATACCATCAACAGATATATAATAATATCATAAATAGTAGTATCACTTTAGTAAAATG